GCATGCTACATCTTGCCATCTGATATACCGTATACTTTCAATAGCTTCGTACATCCGGCACTTGCGATCTTATGCGAATACTGTTGCAGCCCTTCGATTGATCATTATTGATACTTGCAGCATTTTCTGTTTGGATTAATTTGGATGGTTGATTTATTTAGTTACAAATCTCTCTCTTCACTTCACGAATTATAATAGTTTTTTTAAAACGATCGTTGTTCAAAAAAGAGCGATGGGAGTTCACAACGTCTACGACGCGGTACTCTTACATAGGTATCAGTCTGTCACATGTTTTTCCGCAGGTGTTTCAAGTTTTACGTACGAAACTGTGTTAGCATCAGGCTGTTTCCTACACGAAATAAACCTGTGTATTCTAAAACATAAACCTAGTACAATATGAGCATTCCTCTATAGGGCCATTTTTTCCTAATCTTTGAAGCTTGATATCTTTTCTTCCTAGACATGTAGCTATTTCTCTTGCATATGTTTAAAAAAGCAGCTGATTCTCTTTCATTTATCAGTTTAGAGAGAAAACCAACTGGCGATGTCAAGAAGGCTTATCTCTACCGTACGCGTGGTCAGCCCTTTCCGTCGCTTTGCTATATCTACATACAGCTGCTAAAGACTGCCAGCAGCGGTGGTGCAGAGAACCGAGAGAATAGTTTGCTATCGGGCTATTGAAAATGGGGATTAATGGCCTTTAAAACCCCTAAAGGCGCATGCGGATGGGTGCTCACTTAATGAGACCGATGGGGCACACAGCGCATGTTTCACAGTTACCCTTAATTGCTTTTCTTCTTTCTTTTGCCAATTCGACCGCTATCGCGACGCCTAATATTCGTAGAATGTACAAAGAGGACTAGAACATCAATCAAATAACAAATAAACACACGTCCTATTTCATATGAATTAAGCTTAAGCGAGTTGATCTTGATTTGGCAAGGCGGCCTAGAAACCGACCCAACTATGTTATGCGGTTGCAGCATAATATCGATAGTAATATGGGATTCGTTCAGCATATGGCCATGTCGCACTACTTGCTCGGTAAACGGAGCTAATGAGACAGAAAATATTTAAATGGAACAATCAACAAGTCGATGCTCGCCGCGAACTAGTTGACAACGCGGATGGGCGGGTCGAGGCCGGCCGTTAACAACGATGGGCGATAACGACAAAGGTCCTGACATTTGACGACTGAGAATTCGATGACTGACCCGCTCTAGGGCCTACTCTTCCTGCAAGTTAACATCGCAATGACAAAAATCATTCCTACTGACTCAAGAAGAACTAAGCACTGTCCAAGTTTCTTCGCTGTTTGGCTTATACTGGATACTGCTCAGAAGGCGAAGAGCCGAGAAGAAGTAAACGAGGATAACGTAGGAAAGTCGCTTAAGTCCATCTATCACCAAATTGAATAACATTAATATGTCTATTGTTTTCAATGACGCTAATTATTTTTTTGCTTATTCAACAGAACGAGTAGTTGATTTTATGAGGTTCGAAAAATAAAGAAAAATTGTATAAACACTTGATTACTTCTAATCCGATTGATATAAAATATATTGTTAGTTTCTATAAAATTTTACTTATTTTAGTTGAAACAATAAGTTTCCTGTGTACACGGCAGTTGGTGTTACCGGCATAAAAAACGCTTTACTTTAGTATAGTAATTTACCCATATGTAGGATTCAAGACGACATTGACAGTCTTATTAACACGATATCGTAAATAAAAATAAATTGTATCATATAAGCAAAAGCCTACGTTAATCTTCTCAGGAGCAGCAATTTATAGAAGAACGTTATCTTAGCTAACAGCCATGCCCCTATTGTCTCTAAGAGGGAACTAATTGCACCCGCTTATGATATAGAAAAGAAGGATGGTTAATAAAGAAATAAGAGCACACAAAATATGGCTGAATCTTTCTACTTATAGAATTGAAATCGCAATTAAGTTAGCAATCGTATGGGGGTTAATTGAATCGATGTGGAGTAAACGTGTTGTGTAATTATCATTGATGCATTCTGAGAGATCTTCGGCTTTCTCCCTGTTCGGTCTGATCAAAGAATTAATAGAAGCAACTAGGGGCAAAAGCATGGGAGGGAAGAAGGGGGTCCGTCTACAAAACGAGCCATGTCTAGGCCGTTGCGGAAAGAAATATCTATCTGGTTAGACTGGCTTAGACTGTAATAACACTTACCGTTGTGATTGTAGCTCTGTCGACGCCAAATGTCTTTTAACTTACCTAACTATCAACATAACACATAGTTTTTGCAGATCGTTTATTAGTTTCATATTCCGTTTCACTTTTGCAGCCACATATAGATGTTTGAAGCTCCCCGTCCGGTGTTCCCGCTAACGATTGCATCACAAAGAGTTGACTTGAGTATTATTTTATCTAAAAAACAATATATCTTTTATTTCTACAGAATCTTTTAAAAGTATATGGCGATGTAGTTCAACCAGATTACACGATTGTCCGTATACGTTCCCGTTCTGTAAGGCGGGGTAATTGTAAGTTGCAATTGGAAAACTAGAGGATATCCTAAATTTGTAGGAACTGTTTGTATCTTTTGTTTTCGTAATCTTCTTGGGTGCTCAACTTACAAGCGAGTACATGATGCTTAGTGTACTTCCTGTTTCTAGGTGTTGACTGCTCAAAGAACTTCTCAGATTGCGCCATGCTTTGACATGGCCTAATATTCTCAACGAACCAAAGCTAGAAGTCGCTGATATTCATCATGGTAACTTGTCCTCTATAATCAGTTTTATATAATTACTAGCTTCTCAAAGTATTTCGCATCTGTATTTATCTGCCCCAACACCCCACTTACATTTCTTTCTTTTCCTGCCTTTCAACACCGTCGAAAATTACGGTGAAAATTATAATCCTTCAACCTTAGTGTTGCCTTATCCTGAGCGGTGTGTTTCCTACTTCCTGTAAAAAAACCTGGTATTATTCAGTCGAGCTTCTCTATTATACCTGTTAATGGTCTTACGATTGTGGAGATGTACCATTCGAACTCTTGTAAACGGCAGTCTGCTCATTAAAGACGCAGCGTTTCTGGTGTTAACCTATTCAGAATTGGATGGATTCATATTTAGCCATTAGGATTTTTGGGACATCGCTGGGGGTAACCGTTGTTAGCTTACCCCGTGAACAAGCAATCTCGTCCAATGATCCTGGTTGGGTGTTTTGTTGTTTAAAATATTTTTTTTTTCGATTTAGCCAAAACCATT